ACCTTCCCTTTACTAATGGATAGCTCTCTTTCTGAAATGCTTTAGCACATCCTGCACTAAGTAGAGGATTAAACTAGATGACTTCTGTGATCTCTTCCAACTCTATGATTCTGTGAAATTGGCTCAAAGTGTTTGCAGGAATATTCTTTTCAGATGATGGGCAGTATAAAGTCCATTAATACAGCTTTTCATATGTATGTCTCAGGTGGTTGTAGCACACGCTAATCTCACTGAAGATTGAAGCTAAGCAAGGTTGGGCATAGGTAGCACTTGAATGGGCTTCAATCACCAGTTGAATGGGAAATGGAAAATGGAAAAGATCTCATAGATGAAAGTAATGGCAAACCACTCCCAAACTGTTCATGAATGTTTTTATGCCACCACCAACAGGGGAGTTTAACTTCAAGGTATATTTACCTTTTTTATATCTATACACAGATACATACTATTATAGAGGCTTCCATTGGCATGCTGCTGAAACATAAAATTTTAAAAATAACACTATGCAGTTGTGTTATATAAAAAATCCTAGGATTGTGAAAAGTTGGTAGCTCAATATAGACTTGATTGTGATTCTTAATGTTTGTAAATAGTATTCTGAAGTAAGGTTTTTAAAAAATGAAAAAAAATAGGTCATATCAACAAATCCCTAGGATTAAATACTTCTGGAAAGTATTTTGAAAGCCCCTAGGAGGAGAGCAAAAATAAGACAAAACAAGGACCTTTAGTGTTTGTTGAAACAATATTAAGGCTTTTGATGGCTTTTATTTTTGCAGTGAAGGTTTCATTTAAAGGAAATAAATGAGTGCAGTTGCCCAGGGAGTCCATCCAAGTATCATTCAATATTTAAAATAGGCAGGTAAATTAAAACTTTCATAATAGTTATGAAATAGGCAGAAAAAATTTACACTGGCATAGGCTGCAGTAAGAAAAAATTGGGGTTGGTGGGGTTAAAAAAAACCATGTTCCCTAACCTTGTTAATTCTTAAAAGAATTCTTGATCATACTTTCCAAATCAGCAAGTTTCAAAACCTTATATTATTGGATATCTGTTACTAACAACTATAAAAAGTAAGGAAGTCATTAGAGCCCTCAACCAGCCCTTACAACCTACAGCTTGTGACTTCATCCTTCTAACATTACTCACCCATATTTACCACCTACTGCACACATGTCTTCTATCTTCATACGCCTTCTGTCTGAGTTCAGGAACTGGGATTCTTTCCCAGTTCCTTCATTGTCCCCACCCACCCATGCTACAGCATGGAGGGATAGCATTTCAGGGTCTCTGTATGTGCGTGCACCCTCTTGTGCATGCCCACCATGTGTTTGTTCATAAATCACCAGTTTTCTAGATGTTAGTGTTATGTCAGAGGTCCCTCAATGGTGATATCATAGAGCAAATATTAATCTAGATTGTGGCCAGTGTGTGGCCTATGCTTCAGATTTTTTAATCATTTTCTATCACCCATCAATGTATCATACATATTTGTTTTCTCTCTGATATCTCATGAAAGAATGCTAGATACATCCTTGCTTTCAATACTTTATCCAACTGCTTGTGAAAAATCATACTTTCCCTGTTGCTCCCCATGCAACCTATTGGACATTCCTTCAGTATCTGTTCTTTTAATACCCCCTGACGTTATCTCAGTACAATTGTGTTGAACAGAGCCACTTAGTTAATATGGCAAGTTACCAATGATGGAGAACTGAAGTCTGTGATAGAGCTGAACATGACTTTTCTCTTAACTGGCTTTATTCAAGAGGAATTGTGCTTTACTGGTTTTATTTTCTTTTAAACCTCAGACTGCTATTTCTAATATGAGAAGAAATGAATTTGTATGTACTTGTTTTTTCTGACGTTCTCTGTACCAACATGTTGGTAAACTTGTTGAAGAAAACACGGTAACATTTCAATGAGGGAATGTGTTTAAATATTTGATATGTACTAACTTTCCAAAGAATTAAGGAATTCATTTGCTTTCTGAAGCATTAGCATTTCAAAGTGGGAGATTAAATCCTATCAGTGGAATGTGAAGCTGCTCTTAGAGAGCTCAGCATATACTTCCTAAATCAAGATCATAATAATTCTGTACTAATTAATGCCAGTTCTAATCAAGGCACTGCAGAATAAGGAAGAGCCAATGATAAAATATTTGCACTGGCCATTGGTCAGCAAACAGATAATGGGCTGATAGTTGTAAGATATAATAGACTGAGTTCTGTACACATGATTGTCTATTTAGGGTTAGGGTTAGGAATTTAGGAAATCTATTTAGGAAATGATGTTTTTTAGGAAACGTTTTAGAAAATCTGTGGATTTGATAATTTCTCAAAGTAAAGGAGGAATGAATTCTATTAATGCTTCGTCCAGCTTTTAGAAACTTCACAGTTTTCCAATATCACAACCTCAGGGTGCTTGGTAAATAGCATCCAGTATTCTGTCTTTAAAGTCCAACTTTTCACTATTTTTATAGATACATAGACAATGAGGGAATGAAAAATCCCAACTCTTTGGGCAATTTCACACTGCAGTCTAAATTGCTTGTTTCCTGTGCTATCCCAGCTGTTCCTGAAGCCAGCTTAACAACTTCCAGTCCAAACTACAGTGATTTGGCAACAGGGCCTGGTTGGTGCTCCATCTGGACTACAGCCCCTACAGGACCTGACTGACCATTCCCCTGCTTCTTGCAAGGAAGGCAAGCATCAGTGGCTGGCCTCTGTGCAAATGGGTCTATCAGTGCCTGCTTTCTCTTTCTAGGGATTGTTCTCTCCTCACTAGTCCCCATTCTTTTCCTTTGCCTTCCTAGTTGTTTGCACACATAGAAGCCTTCAATCCTTTACCCATGTTCTCTTCTTTGCCCTTAATACAGACCTTTTTTTTCCCCCTTCCTCTCCTTATTGTACCATGGTTGCCCTGATGCTTTCTGTTGGGGAAATTTTCTTACCTAACCAAAATAAAACAGAACCTGAGAGAATCAGTTGGCAAATTAATTTATTTGATCAAGCCTCAAATCAACCTCTTACAAAATGGAGGGTTGAAAGACAAAAAAATTCACAAATGGCTTCTCTTTTGTGCAACTCAATGTTCTGCCCCTTAGTGACATCATTATGTTTGCAATCCAACCTCTAACTACCTTATAAAACATGAAGAGAAGCTTGATTACATATGTATTATAGGCAAGCATGCCTGATGGTCCAATCATGCATACACATTCTTTGGAACTGGATCAAACAAGTCCCAGTCACTTTTGGCTAGCTGCCTGAAGTAAGTTGCAAAGTTTGTATTGAGTTGAGAAGTTAATTTGTGCTTGTTAGTTTAATAGAGCAAGGTTTGCTTTAGTAATCAAAGAAATGTTTTGTTCAAATGGGAAAGCTAAACTTACAAAACCTCTGGTCACTGAACAAGTGGTTGTAACCCAAGGACTACCTGTATACATATAAGTATAATGACATTTATTGGGACATCATTTTGTTGGGCTATTTTTTACATATGCATTTACATTTTCATATTCTATGCGTCTTACTTTCAGGAATGAATTCAAAAGTGAAAGAAAATGTCAACATATATGGAGCTCAACATTTTAAACTATTAATTGTTCAATTGTACATATATACCTAGAAGTAGTTCCACTGAATTTAGTTACATTTATTTCTGAGTAAACATCTCTAAAATAAATTATTAAAAAAAAAAATCAAGATTTGTAATTCAAGGTGATATTTTATTATTTTTCTTCCCTCAAATTTTTATTTGTTTATAAAATGTCTTTTTTAACACATAGTGGGATTTTTTTATTAAACATTGAATTATGCAGTGTATTTGTTAGAATATGCGTATTTGTTATTTACTCAATACTTTATATGATGAGCTAGAAAATAAAATATTAAATGGAAAAACAACTTAAGCAGTCCTTGGATTGAGATGTCAAAACTATATTTGTGATTGTTGTATCTGCTATCAGATAGAAGACTTTACCTCTAGTATGTTTAAGTTTTGCATGCCTGCTGTAGTCTATTGTATTACTTTTTTTAATAGAGAAAATAATTATGATCATTAATGATGACAATATTTCTTCACCATCATTTTGTAAATAAAAATAAATCATTTTTATTTACAAAATGATGGTAAAGAAATATTGCCTATTCAGGATGTCTAAGTTAAATAGTTATTATAGAATGAAATACCTCTTCATGTAATATAGGCACTCTCTTAAAAACAGAATTCCTGAGGATGAATAATTGACTTGCAAATTAAAATAAAATTTATTTGCCAATAAATTTAAATAAATAAATAAATTAGTATGAAAAACATTCCTATGCGTTGCTAAAATCAACTTAGTTGGATGAATTTGCTACACCTGATCAGCACATTTAAGCTTGCTACATATATATTTATTCTTGGTGATTCTTCATATTATAGGATGTGAGGGTGATCTGGCTGTGACATCTGTCACCCCATTCATTGCCAGGGTTGATTCAACTCATCTGGCTGGCTCTGCAGATGGTCCCTCCCTCCCTCCCTCCCTCCCCACTCCATGTGCTTGCCTCCTGAAACGGTGTGCTTGGTGGAAGAGGACAACCATCACAGACAGAAGGAGTGTGCCATTCTTTGGTCATACTCATTATAGTGAGAAGAATTAAGTAACAAGGATACATTTATAGAAATATCATAGTTAATGGTATTTCTAGCAAGATCTTGGTATGAATCAATGAGGAAAATGATCATAATGTCAGCAGGGCCTTTTTATGACATAGGTAAGACATACGTAGCTTCTTCTAAATTGAAAAAATGTTCTATGTATTCTCTCAGTTTTTCCTCCCTTCTTTCCCTCACTTCAACTTTTAGTTGATTTGCTGGCTGTTTCAGACAACTGTATTCAATGTTTTGTTTTAACTATCCAGCTTTTACAGCCTACAGAGAGTCTTATTATTTTTCTTAGTAGACACACTATGCATCCTAATTTTATTCACTATTTTTTTCTTTCTTTCTTTTTTAGATACCTGATTAATGTCACCTTTGAAGGAAGGAATTTGTCATTCAGTGAAGATGGCTATCAGATGCACCCTAAACTGGTTATCATCCTTCTGACCAAGACGAGAACATGGGATAGGGTATGATAAGTTTCTTACCTTTTGAACTGGAATTGGGGCAGAGATGTAAAGATATTCTTCCTTGGACTGTTACCAGGGAGCTCACCATCTCAGAGATTCCTTTGGGATATCTGGTTACTGGTTCATTTTGCAAATTTCTGATTACATTTTATTCCTCACTTTACTTATTTAAAACCTGACACTTTTTAATGCATAGAGCAGACTGCCACAGATCAATCAGTATAGAAAGACAGCATATTTTCTTGTATTGCAAGATTTCTGATAGAGGAAGACAGGCAAAATGACATGACCAAGATGGGTGGGTGGAATTTAGAAGAACTGATAGAATTGCCGAGGGGGTGGGGGGTTCTGTATTGCTAATCTAAAACCAACATAACCTTTTTTTGGTGAAGTCTTTCCCCAAGTGTTAGCAATTTAAAAGTTTTATTTATATGAAGAAAACCCATGTAACAGCTGATATGCAATTTTTCCTCCCTAGTTTGACAGATCTTTACTGAGTTTTGCCAGTCCAATGAATAAATGGCTTGTAAAGTTAACATACTAGTGAGATAAACCCTGACAGCAAGAAGATGCATGGGCAAGCAAGGTGGAATTAGTTCTATCTAAAGATTCATAAAGTTTTGACTAGCCATCATCAATTGCAAAGAGGCTGCAGTCAGTGCATGCCCACTTGACAATAAGCCCTGATTAACACAATCTGGTTTACACTGAATAAACATGAATAGAACTGCACTGTAAGCCCCACTAAGATCAGATTTTGAACTGCATATAAGAGCAATATTTCAGTTGGGTATACTGAACTTCCTGATGGGGAGTTCATAAATCATTAGCAATGTCACAAGGTACTCCAAGTAATGGCACTGAAGCAATAAATATAAAGCCAATGTTATTGTGCCCATCTTTCTTGAGAAACTTTGGTATCAATAGAGGAGAATATATATAGCTCAGGGTTGAACTGTAGAGTCCTTGGAGTTCTCTGAGCTTGGCTGTTTTCTTGCAGACGTTTCCTTATAGGAGTCATCTACAGCATACAGTGTAAGGACTGTAACAGCCACTATGTAGGACAGACAGGCAGAAGACTAGCAGAGTGCATCCATGAATACCAACTAGCAGTCAG